GATATTTCTGATTATAAGTATTTTACTATGCAATTATAGTTTCAAATACTACATATTTTTCTATCAGCGTAAAAGATGAATAATCGCTGTTGCCAAATCCAGTGTGACAATATACACGAAGGCGTCCCGGCGTTTCCAAACGCCGTTTTGTCAATCGTCAGTTTTCTGTGTCGTATTTTAAAATCGACAACGGAAACCTGGTCCTGGCAAGAGCTTTCAGGAGCCGCTTCTTTCATTTTAAGAACAAACATCTCAACAATTATAATATAACTAGAACATCGAGGATTTCTTTTCAAAATCAAAATTCAATTCGAAAACCAACCGAAAAACAAACGCAGAGATGTTCTCTTTTTATTCACAGGCGTGTATCCGAGAGCTGCTTGAGCTATTCATCACGTCCAAATTTTTTTTCCCGACGTTGAATAACTTGGCAGCGTCTCGCGCGATTAAAACGGTCATTTTTCTTAACTCGTTCTTCAATATCTGCGGTCGAGGGGACATTATTTTCGTGGTCTCGCGACGTTTCTGCGCAGACACGGCGCGTGCACGCGTAAACGTTGATCGATACCGTCGTGCCCGCGCGAAAGTTTACGCAACCCGGAGAATCGGGTAACGTCAGATAAGGTGACGCGTTTTCTGCTTTTGCGCAAAGCCGGTATTACCTGGCCTGTGCCTGCGAGCACGCGCAAGACCCGGCGTACGCACGTGGTAATCCGATATCGCGAGGACACGCTTACATGCCGCACGCGTGTGCCTCCATCGTGCGCTCGTCTCGACTGGCAACATTTACGATTGCACCGCGCAAACTGTTGCACTCCACATGTTTCCGATGTGGCCGGTAATTCCTGCCACCGACGCGAAAGATGCGCGCTCCCTCGTAGCAATAAAAAGATTCGTACCCACTCGAGCCGCGTTCAAGCTTCCGATACGAATTTTCGTTCCTTTCTTAAGATAGATTTGATAGCATGCCTCGTGCGAGAGAAAGCCTCATAAAAACTTGTGTCCGCACGACATGCAACCTGCATAACTTATGTTATTGATCCGAACCCTTCAAATGGAGGGTTCCAGGCAGGTTTCTGCGCGAAATGTCCTAGAAAAGGGGGGGGGGAGGAGAGAAAACGAATTCTATTTCTTTCTCCTAACATTTTTTTAAATCGCGAATTCAATTTTTCCAAAAACTGTTTAAATTTTATGATTTAAAAAACTCTTCGATATCCACCGACTGCGCGGAAAGAAAAATGTAGCTACCGCAGCTGAAAAAAAAACTGCATGTGGTTACTAAACTTCAGTTGTAAAACATGGACAGCTGATATTTAGTTGTGACAGCTAAATATTTGGCTACCGCGACTATTGTATTAGGTGCGACAGCAGACTTTTTGCCGTGGTTTAGAAATTCATAGTTTACGGCAGCAAAATATTTTTAGCAAACCGCGATTAGCTACGGTAGCGAATCTCTTTTTTTTTTCAGCGCACGAAGACGGTGAATCCGAAGTGACCGTCTGAAGAATTGCTCCTCCCGAACCCGTTTATTAGCATAAACGTGACAAAAACAAAAAACTTTTGACGAAACGGGCTCGGATTTCTGCGAAGTTGTCACGAGTTCGCGAATCCGCGCGGGTGCACCTCGCGATCCGACACGTGCCTGCCGGCAATACGTGGGACAGAGGCCCCACTCGTGTCCGCGGCGAGAGATTCCCTCGCGGGAGCGTCCTGCGGCGTTACACGTTCGAGGGCCCATCGGAAATCGTGCATCGGCGGAAGAGAGCTCCTCCGCTTCCCGCCGAGTTGCCGCACGGCCGTGCATGCGTTCTGCGGCAACGCGCGAGGGTAAGGCACGTATTATGTACGCGCGCTACTCGGCGCGGCGTGGCGCGGCGCGGCGCGGTGTGTGAATAGCGAGCACGTGCATTTCCCACAGAAAAGCAATGGGGGCTACGCGCCGCGGCGTCGCGACCAGCTGGGAATACGGCACCGGGGTTCGGCACCGCTCTCCTCGGCTCTTTCGGGGGTAGACGCCGGGGACGGCGGCCACCTTCGAGACGAGGCCCACGTATCGACAGTCTTGTTCGCTTGGAATCAACTATCGTCTGTTACGATGAGTCAGAGGATGTTCGACAGGCTTCTAAATAGAAATAAATATATATTTTTTTTAAAATCTTGCTCCATCGTGCAATTGATTGTTTTTTTTTATCGAATGGCTTACCTTTAAGAAGCGAGCGGTTCTCTGGAAACATGTACAAAGTCACTTATCAAATTATGAAAAGTCAATCGGTATCTCCGCTATTCGTCTCTCGCGCGTTCTGGAAATATTGTAAAATGCTATGCATTGCGTTGTTTTTGGAGGACAATCGCGGGGAAAGAGTCCCACGTTTCTGTGAAAATCTTGCATTTTTGTCGCGCAACTGTCACTGGCTCAAATTTATTTGCACGGGGCGATGCCAAGTAGGAAATATGACCTTCTCAAATTATTCAAGTATCGTGAATGATTCCAGCGTGTGTTATTACTACGTCGCGGAGATTATGAAATAAAGATCCGTTGCAATGCGCCAAACACAAGACTGTATCGATCGGCATAAATCTATTCGTTCCTGGCGGGAATCGATTGCACGAGTATGATCTTGACTTGGCGAATGGTAACCACGTTTCTGTCGCAAATGCAAAAGTTCACACTGCCATTTAAACCGAATTAACTCTCGCCGGTATGATTGACGACGTATTATCGTCCGTTGCGCATTATATCGCTGTAAGCCCGATCGTTTCAAATTATCCGACGCGATATGTTAACCATTAGTCCGCGGGTTATTACGTTACTTAATATTGGACAGGCCAATCGGCAGCCTTTTCTCGACACGCCTATCAAATGCATCGCTGTACAAAGTTGTAACGCCGCTCTTATTCATTATTATTCGAAATGCTTTGTCCCCCTCCTCCGCGTCTGCGTGCATTATGTAAGAGACTTGTGTATTCCCTTACGTAAGACACGTGGAAAAGATATGAATTTTTGGCTCGCGTGCTTCATATTCGAAGGAGACGTTTCCTCTACGGAATTCTGTCATTTATAAGACTATCACACATGAGTTATTGTACCAAGTTCGAAATTTGTATTGTAACCGTGGCCGGTTCGCGCTTGTCAATTTTGGGAATAACTCGATGAAAATAGATGTTTATCTTCAACTTTAAGGCGTTTTAGCGCACACATACTTCTCTTTTTTTTCTCTCCCTTTCCGCCTACATTTATAATTATAGTTTATATACAGGGTGAGTCTTTCCATATCCGACAAAATTTTTGAGAAGGTAGAACGGATCGAGATGAACGGAAAAGTCCTGTACCATTTTGCAATTTTCGTAATAGTTAACGAGTAATTAATTATTAAAAATCGTTGTCTTAGGCCGGCCTACCGCCCAATTCGAGCGCGTGGCAAGATGTGATCGCTC